ACAATCTTTGTTATGCTGAATCACGTGAAATATATATAATCCCTGACCGAAATATTCAATTTTCCAATAGCTAACTACTACAGTAGTTTGACAAAAATAGCGGCGCAATTATCTAAATGAATTTGACTTTGTAACATTGGCTCGTGTACATACTATATATATATTACACATAAAAAAATGAAAGTAACATTGACTCGTGCATATATAATATTACATATAATGTAATGTTCGAATATAACTAATGCTTGCAATGACATTTACATTATGTATCGATAAAATTGTCATAAGTAAAATTTTGTTAAAACTTACCTAATTATTTATAAGGAAATTCACAACGCGTTTCTATTGTTGCGGGTAAACGTGACCTAAAATAAAGGCGCACGATTTCAAGATCATGTCCCAAAATGTAACTCTAAGCCGTCGAATCCGTGATTTGGATCGTAGAACTGCCCTGCACCAATCAATTAAAGCGAAAAAGGTATTAACAATAGTAATGCGTGGGAATTAAAAAGAAGGCAAAACTTATTTGGGTATAGCGTGTGGCCGTGAATTGAAGACTTACGCGTGAAAAGAATAATTCAAATGGTGAACAAAATCGAAGGGAAGGCATTAATGATAGTAATGCATGAGAATTAAAAGAAGGTAAAACTTATTTGGGTATAGTGTGGCTGTGAAACTAAAGACTCGCATGAAAAAGAATAATTCAAATGATAGACAAAATTAAATGATCAATTCGGGTTAATAAAATTGAAGGAGAGAAGAAGAGAGGATTAGTAATTTTATCTAAAAGTAAAAAAAAGAATAAAAAAAACTTACCATTATCATCAAAAGCCACCTAGATAGAATCACCTTCGAAGCGTGTGAATCATCTAAAGAAAATGTAGAATAGATTAGTGCAAATTTCATTGTAATTCATTCATTATAAAGAGAACTTTTTAATTATAACTTTCGCATACCTCTCAAGTTGTGAATAACTTGACATACCAAAGTTTTCCCTCTTGTTCATTATTATACGGATTAGTATTTAGTTTAGCGACTGATTCATCGAGATCAAAAAATAAAAAAAATATTGTTACAAACGATATCCAGATTCCAAATCTTAAAAAAAAACAAGAGAGAAAATGTCTGCTTCAATGACATTGAAGAAAATAAATTTTGTAATCGTTGTAAAAAAACTAAATCAGTTACTGAATTTACAAGACAGCGTGGAAATAGAATAGTAACATTATCTATGTGCAACCAATGTGCTGAACGAGAAAAACAAAATAGATTAGATAAACAACTCAAAGCCAAATCGCAAGACAACGAAAATACTCTATCACTGCCCTTAAATGACGACATGCCCATAGATGCAGATAATAGCGAAAGCAGTGATGACGAACTTCTTTACGAAGTGTGTGATCTTGAAGAGCTCGTAACCATCAATTTTAGGGATAGTGAAGAGGAGGATGACAAGGTCGAATTCTCTATAATGATAAAAATCAAAAGCGAATTAGTTAATAAAGAAATATTATCACCGGAATTAGATTATGATGAAGCTGAAAAATTTCGTAATATTGTCAATGCGTTACTTATACCTCTTCAAGAGAGATCGGGATACTATTGGGAACTCAGAAATTTGTACATGAATAGAAAGAATGGTCAATATATGGGATGCATAACAGCTCATCTAGGTTGCACTCAAAGAACTGACCGTCAACACAAATACCAAGATAATTATACCGCAAAACGGATAAGCGAAGCATGACCTACAATGACACGCTTTCAATGTGATGGCAATATCGTAATTAAGATGGATCTATGCGAGCAACAAGCCACAATATCTGTGCAGCACCTGATAGCTCACCAACGTCCCACATATAGAGAAATAAGATTGCCTGCAAATGCCGTGGAGTTAATACAACGGCATATTAATCATAATTCGCGAAAAATCGAATTTTACAAACAGCTTTGTGATGAAAATTTGATTAATTCAACATTACACACTTACCAACAAGTATATTACTGGACGCATAAATTTTCAAGAAAGCTATATGTGACTGACGTAGCCAATCAAGTAAAATCTGCTATAAATTTCCTGGAACAAAGTGAGTTAGTAGATGCAGGATATAAAGTCATTCAATACTGAGAAAATGATTTTGTGCGTTCACTTGAATTCACTACTACATTCCTTCAGAATCTACAAAACTATATCAGCGAGATTGTTATCGATTCGACCTTCAAAACAAACCAAGAACGGTTTGAACTCTTCGTGGTAAATGCCAATTGTGGTGAATACGGTGTTCCCATTGCATATTTATATGTTGATACATATACAGCACCAGAAGAACGGCTCTCAGATCCCAGTAATGATGTGCATACGAGAGTTGGTGTGCTTAAGGAATTTTTCATCAGCTTGCGAAATGAAGGAGTTCTACCGACATTCGTGCTTTCGGACAAAGATTCTGGAGAAATCATTGCCGTTTAGGAGGCTTGATCTCAGATAGCAACAATCCAGCTTTGTCTTTGGCACGTAGAACACGCAATTGAACGCAAGCTGAAGGAAAAAAAAGCTCGGAGAAGTCAGTATTCAGCACAAAAGGCACATGAAGCAAATCTTGAATTCAGATTAATCGATCCGACTTGGCTTCCTGGAGAACCGCAAGACAAAATATGTCCTAAAGAATTAATAAAAGAATTAATAGGGATGATTAAAAAGCATGCGTTATTACATCCGCTTATTCCCACGGGCAAAAATACTTTTCTCACGTCAGAAGAGATTCGATATCATAGTGTTTCGGAAGTCTATCAATTTTGTCGTCAGAAGAATCTTATTGACTTATGGGGATATTTGTGGGTAAACTGATACAACGTAAAGGATTGGAATCTATTCGCACGGGCAGCTTATCCAAGAGCGATGTCTATTGCCAGAACCACTATGATCACTGAATCACATTGGCGTGTTCTTAAATATAATTACAAGTATAATTTAAATCAGCCACGTCTAGATCGTCTAACGCAAATTCTTACCAAAGAACTAGTTCCAGATATGGAAAATACTTGGAGAAGGTTTCGCTATAATCGTGATTTCCCATCATGATGGAACACGTTCAAGCACGATTGGAAGTCTGCAATAAAAAAGGACATAAGTATAGTAGACCATTATCATACTGACGTAAACACTTGGATTTGTTCATGCACCACCTTTTTATATAGTCCTTACCTGGTATGCAAACATCTGATAAAAAAATATTCTGCAGAAAATCAGTCTTTCTTTCCTCAATTTCTTGCCACAATGCGCTGCCATGATTACCCATTTATTGCCTTCAGTGAAGTAAGTCTCCCGAGAATTAACGCAAACAATAACCCTTGGGATAATGTTCCACAGAATAAAATTTTAGAAATCATGCCTATCTCAGAGACATCGAGTAGTCATAGCGCAAGTGCACTTATTTCTGAACACTACGAAGTTATCGAAAGCAGAAAAGCAGAGCTAATGTCAGATATGAAAACATTCGAGACGTTAGTGAAGATTATAAACAATGATATTGAAAATGACAAGCTTTATGAAACATATAAGATTTTTAGGCAGCCTCTTGTTGACGAGACCACCGCATGTAACGAAGCTCTTAACGCAAGAAGATAGCAGCAAACCTGAAAACCATGAAAAAACAGAAATTTAGCTTTTTGGCTGCGATAAAATGAAGTTTTCGTCCCAAGTTTTTGCTCATTTTTACCTCAAGTTTTCATTCATTTTCACCCCAAGTTTTTGCTCGTTTCGCCTGTTTCAAGTTTTCACCCAGAGTTTTCGTTTCCCTGAATTTTCGTTCGCTTTTTTTGTTCATTTTCTCATCGATTTTCATTTGTTTTCTTCCCGATTTTTCGTTCATATCTACCCCGAGTTTTCTACCCGAGTTTTCACACTGAGTTCGTCCTAAACGAATCAACTTTTAAATAAACGTAAAACATAACAAAAAAAAAGTCTCAAATACATAGTTATTGGTTCAAATTCGAGAACTGAAAATTAATAAGACGTATTTTTTCTATTGGCTTCAATAACCTTCTCTACACATCTAGGTAGACTTGAAATTAACTCACGTAAGGTTTCGAGATCGATACTCACCCATTCCTCTTGTAGCATAATTAACTCTTGTTTGGATATAGGCAAAG